TTTTTCATCATTCCCAAGGCTTCTCGGTAATATGGGTTCTAATATGCACAGGAAGCTTTTGAAGTCACAAAATCTGTCACCACATTGCATACATTCATTATTATTCCCTCCACTGTTAGTTAATATGTGTTTAAATGTCTGAGGATCAAGTAAAAGTTATCTTACATTCCTTAGATCAGTGGTTCTCAACCTTCCTAATGCTGCAACCCTTTAATGCTCATGTTGTGGTGACCCCCCCACCACAAAATTACTTTCCTTGCTATGTCATAACTGTAATTTTGCTACTGTTATGAATTGTAATGTAAATTGTAATGTGTTTCACGATGGTTTTAGGTGACCCCTGTGTAAGGGTCGTTCAACCCTCAAAAGTGTCACGACCCACAAGTTGAGAACCACTGCCTTAGATTCAAAAGGCCTCACCCCAACTGTGAATTCTCATGTTTGAGGTTTTAGGAATGGGTAAAGACTTTCCCACATTTCTTATATTCCTTAGTCCTATCTCCATTGCAAATTATTTTATGTTGAGTGAGATTAGAAGATTGAGTAAATGTTCTGCCACATTCCTTACATCCATAAGGCCTCTCTCCACTATGAATTCTCATATGTCTAGTGAGATTACCAGATTGAGTAAAAGTTCTCTCACATTCCTTACACTCATAAGGCCTCTCTCCACTGTGAATTCTCATATGTTCTTTGAAGTGTGAGGATTTAGTAAAAGTTCTCCCACATTCCTTGCATTCATCAGTTCTCTCTGCCCTGTGAATTCTCATATGTTGAGTGAGCTGTGAGGATGTAGTATAAGTTCTCTTACAGTCCTTACATTCATAGGGCTTTCCTCCACTATGAGTTCTCATATGTTTAGTGAGACTAACAGATTGAGTAAAAGTTCTCTCACATTCCTTACATTCATAAGGCCTCTCTCCACGATGAATTCTCATATGTACTTTGAGGTGTGTGTATTTAGTAAAAGTTCTACCACATGCCTTGCATTCAAAAGGTCTCTTTGCACTGTGAATTCTCATATGTTGAGTGAGCTGTGAGGATGTAGTATAAGTACTCTCACATTGCTTACATTCATAAGTTCTCTTTCCATTCTGAGCAGTCATAGTTCTAGTGAAATGTGAAAGTTTAATAGCTTTGGTGCATTCCATATATTCACAAGGCTTCTCTCTGCCGTGCATTCTCATATGTTGAAAGAGGCATGTGAATTTAGTAAAAGCTTTCCCACAGTGCTCACATTCATAAGACTTAGCTCCATTGGACATTCCCATATCATCTGTGAGTGTTGCAGGCTCTCCAAAGATTTTACAACTGTCTTTATAGTCATAGCATTTGTTTCCTGCTATAAATTCTACTGGAGTGTACATATTCTTTTTTCCACAAGTCCTAAATTGGTCAGCATTGAATGAAGTGTAATATTGCTTATTATGCTCTAGTGAAGAAAGATCCTTGGATGATTTTCCATACTGAAGACATTCCATGGGATGTATGTATCCTGGTCTTTTTAATGCATTAAGAATTGGAATTTGACTGGAGATCTTATCAATACTATTTTCCTTATACATTTCACTGGATGCCACATATGTTCTGTTAAAACAAGCAGTTGAAAAGAATTTTTTACCATTTCATCATTAACATAGATAAGTATACAGTTTCCTCTCTCAATTGTCTAGTAAATCATAAATTTTAAAATCTGAGTCTGCAGGGAATCTAGGACAGATGAACCACTCAGGACCAGGGGTGACAGTGGTGATACCAGGAGGGAAGGGGGGTGTAGAAAGGGGGAATTGATCACAGGGAGTTACATATAACCTCCTCTCTGGGGGATGGGCAACAGAGGGGTAGGTGAAGGGAGACGCCGGGCAGTGTAATATAAGATACAATAATAATTTATAAATTATCAAGGGTGCATGGGGGAGGGGGGAGGAGGAAGGGAGGGGGAGGGGGGAAAAAGGAAAATGAGCTGATTCCGGGAACCCAAGAGGCAAACAAATTTTGGGAATGATGAGGGCAACAAATGTATAGATGTGCTCTATACTACACAATTGATCTATGTATTTTGATGAATTGTATGAGCTCCAATAAATTGATTTTTTAAAAAATCTGAGTCTGATACAACTATGGTTGTCACTAGGTTAATTAAATAGGTAGATTATACACCTCTTATACTTGAGTATAAACTGAGTTTTTTTTAGCACATTTCTTATGCTCTAAAAGCCCCCCCCCCCCAGTTTCTGTCACAAAATGGGGTACTTCGGCTTATACTCGAGGATATACAGTTAACTGGATATAAGAAAAATATATTTGAACTATTTATAATTTACATGTATCAAAAGTACAAAGTGGCAATAAAGTTAACACATATTATTCCTGATAGAGGCACACACCTACACACACATACATAGATATGCAACAAAATGTTTGTGGTCTACCATTATGGTAAATGTTGATAATATGAATAACTAGAGTAGAATTTCTTGAGCCAAAATTTGCTCATTCAAAGTAATATATACAGGATAGAACAATATAATGCATTACACATAGGTATTACATTCAAATAAAGGTATAGATTGAAATATAAACTGCAATTGAATCATTACACTCAGTGGCCCTATAACATAGAATCAAAATATCATTTTCATAAGAATACCTAGTTTCATATTTATCACAGAGTGTTGTTGATATGTTACAGCCACTGTCCTTGCAGTTACAGGCCAAGTGCTTAATTCAACGTACCACCAGGGTTATGTTTCTGTTTTTCATGTATATAATATACAAACATATATTTTACATTCATCTACAAAGACTTAAGTTGAGAATCATAATGTTGTGGAAAATTCCATTAGTAATGATCTTTTGGATGACCGAATCATATGTCTTAAAATTCCCCTTGGGTTGATTCTCACATCTACCATACAGGACCATGTGGAAACGCCCCTGTAGTTTCCTGAGACTATAGCTTTTTAAAAGATTAGAAGGCCTCCTATAGAACAACTTATGGTTTAGAACTTCTGATCTTGTGGTTAGCAGGCCAATGAGTAACTCCTGCATGAAGTAATTAGGTGTTGGGCTGTTAAGTGATGATGCTGTGGAAACAAACAAAGCTGATCTCCATACATCAGATGAGGTGATCTACTTCCATAAAGTTTAGCATCCTCAAAAACTCCTATGTAGAATTCTACTCCGTACTACTTTGTCAGAATTGTTTCAAATGGACAAAAGAGCAGTGGGTCAATATGTGTAAATGGTGTGTTGATTGTGCACAGATGGTTGTTTTATATATCATATAGCACCCGGTCTTTAAATATGTATAATGCACAAATTAAAACATTATTTACATGTAAATATGTATAATATGTTATAAATAGATGATATGACAAGTTTGGCTCATAGTGACTAATCTGTAAGAATTAAAGAAGGAGATCACCAAAATATTTCTTTCAAAGAGTCACTGGAAGTTCTGAATTGCCACATTTTGTGTTATTAGCTGAGTGCTTAATCATCGGTACTACATTAACTTAAAATTTGCGTCAGCCTTTTTGTTTATACGTGTACCTAAATAACATAATATGCCCTTCAAAATGTATCCTGAAGCATTGTTCTCTATCAAGTAAATTACACTCACCTTAAAAGGGGGTTGTAGGTGTTATCCTGCTTTATACGACCGGGAAATTCACAGATGTTTTGTAATATGGAGGCACTTTTGTCATTTTTCAAAAATGTTACCATTACATCTTCAGTGGGTATGTGTCCTTAATCATTTACATTGGAGAAGCAGAAACAATGATGTAAGTTGAAGTTCACCGCATGAAAGAAAAATGAAAAGCATTTTTGAAAAGCATTAAACACAAGAGGAAGTTGTGAGACAAGATATTGTGTCACAGTTTGTTTATTCAATATTTTGGCAACGTTCAAAAAGCAATTGGCAAATAAATTCATCCTTGAAGATTAAGAGGAATAGTTGTAACATATATAGCTGTAATTAGAAGATCAAGTTTAAAAAACAACAGTAGACACAAGGCAGATATAACCTTAAAGATAAAAAGGGAATCTTCCTTCTTTTTTTTAATCCTCCGTGTACATAGGTATTATTAGTATGCCTACAGGTAACAATCAAGGACAGGCATACATGCCTAATTGTCTTCCTAGTCAAATGAGACATTGCTAACAGTTTTATCAGACGCAATTTCTTCTATTAAAACCCAGTCAATGCTCTGTTGACACAGTGGGCATGGAGGACTGTTATGCACTCTACTGAAGAATTTCTCTTATGAGTCTCAGAGAACGAAATAAGTCTTAACAAGGTGGTGCCCAGGATGGAGCAAAGAAAATACAATTAACCAATTAACATGACCCTGAAATTGATTTAATACTTTGATTTTGGGGATCTCAGGAAATAAGCAGTTGAATATTATTTGCAAAATAAGTTACCAATTTTTCCCCTTAAACATGGAATCAACCCAGTAAAACATTGGTGGCATAGATGGTACACATTGTTCTCCTAACTGCAACATCAGGAGTTTGATACCATAACCCTGCTCTATAGGAGAAAGATGAGACTTTGAATATCTTTTAACCTTAGGGGTTCTTCCTCTTGCACTATATTAGATAATACTCCATTAAGATTCACATGTTTTTGAACGGTTTATATTCCAGAAGTGGAACAACTCTTCCTTACTACTAGTCTGCTTGGTTTGGAAGTTCCACAGATACGTCTGCATGGGTAATACTGGTAGTAGTTGAAATACATCTTGGGTACCTTCCAGCATAACAACATACAAGTTTTGACAGTGACAAACTGACAAAGTGGTGACAGACTGCATTACATACAGATTTGTGATCCCAAAAAACCCAGGATATAATTGTTTCAGAGAGTAAATTAACTTAATTGTCATATTTAACCAGGCATTCCTAACCCTTTGCCCACTGAATGGGGCAACAACTGTGCACATTTGATAAATAAATAAGGAATTAATTTGAAATAATGAAGCTGTTCTTACCTACTATAGCTAGGTTTGTGAAGGTCTCCACCATCACATCTCTGTAGAGTTGCTTCTGGGAAACATCCAGCAGTGCCCATTCTTCTGCAGTAAAATCCACAGCCACGTCCTCAACAGTCACTGAGTCCTAAAAGAGCCCACATAATCTCTTTCATCTGAGGACTAAGTATGCAAATATGTGTGGAAAGAAAGATGAGACTTATAATCCTGAAGTAATTTCATTTTATCATGTTATGACACATGGTTATGGGTCCTATAGGGTTTGCCTTCGAGTTTACCCATTTTTCACCTTCTTTAACCATATACATTCAGTTCTCCAAAGATGTCATCTCATTTCATAGACTTATCAATATGAAGAATCTTCAATATGTTTGCGAAAAACTTCCACCACCTTTAATTCCATTTTTCCCCACTCATTTTGTGCAGTCTCCTCAAGAATACAACATAGAATACTCATCACTTCCCACTAGGCCTGTCCAATTACAGTCTATATTCTAACCCAAGAATTTATAATAATTCAGAAATTCCTTATTATAAACAACACACTCTTTATAATTTCTTCTCTTTCTCTCTCTTATGGAGGTATGGGGAAACAACTTCCATAGTGACATATAAAATGTACGTATATATATTTGTTTTTAAAAAACGAAGTGAATGTTGAAATATTAATAATTAAATACTGTAAGACTGGCATCTTATTAGTTTGCTTGCTTGACTTTTTGCTTCTCATCAACCATTTCAGGAAATAGCATATGATCATATATTGAAAGAATTGACTATATAATTTAAATGGCCTCTGAAGTATTCGATAAATATGTCGTCAGCAATTGACTGATTATCAATGAATACGTTCACACAAAGACATGTGCGTTAGTCTGGGTACTTTAAGGAATCAAATCCACAGAAACTCATGTATGAGAGAGTTTTATATAAAGGTTATGTGTGTATCAAGAAAACATCCCAATCCAGTGCTGCCCAAGCCCACAAATCCAACATTAACCCATTAAACCATATGTCCAACACCAATCTACAAAGTCCTCCTCCATCTCACACAACAGACACAAGATGATGACTGCAGGAGGAAAGCCGAGTCAGTGAACGTGTAAGCATATCAGCACTGACAGGGGTCTCAACACAGGTGTTCCAGCACCCAGGGATGCATTGGGGTAGGTCCATGTGGCTTCTCCTTGGGGATGTCTTATAGGAAGTGAGCCTTGCCAGCGAAAGCAAGGAACTGGCTAAGGCAGCTGCACCCTGGTCCAACCATCAGAAAGCAAGAGACCAGAGAACTAGAAAGGTAAGGCTCACTGAACCATTTATCCCTCTGCTCTGTGGCCAGGTTGGCACAATAAACTAACTACCTCAACATGCAAAACAGCAAATGGTCTATTCTCCCCAATTTAGAAAACAAGTACTTGTCCACAAACTGGTGGTTATCCATAGAGCGGCACATTTCAAAGAACAAATGTTTAAATAGATTGTGAAAATTTAAAAACAATATTATTATGACACAAATGTAAAATCCTACAGAAAATAATCGGAAAAAAAAACAGCTGCAATTTATGATCGATCGGATTTTCAGAGACTAAAAATGGATTGAGAAGTGCTTCTGGAATTAGAACTTTTGATATTATGGATGTTATCACATGGTTTTTGTAAAAGATTCCATAAGATAATACCATTCAAATGTTGGCCTGTCTTATTGTACTGATGGTAATCATTACAGTAGGGGTGAAAGGAAGTTATGCAGACAGAACAACAAGATGTCATGTAATTTAAAAGCAGAAAATACACTCCATATTTTTAATAAGTGTTGAAAAAAGTATTTTGACTAAATAGACATACGGAGAACATGGTATCAGGATAGGAGATGCAATCACTTTAAGAACCTGTGAAGTACAAAGAAATCATTCTTGTTGAAAGTTAAGAGAATGTGAAGAAATTACTAATGAAGATCAAAGGTTACAGCACTGAGAACTGATTACAGGCCAGCAAAAATAAAAAAAATCCCTACAAATAAATTAATAAGCAACACCTTAACAATTTTGAGCATAATTTGAAATCAAGATTTGCATTTTACTTGGATCCATAATCAATATCCTTGGAAACAGCTGTCAAGAAATCAAGACATATTTTATTATGGGCAATCTTCTACAAAGGACCTACTTAAAGGTGTTGAAATCAAAGATGTCACTTTAGGACTAAAGTGAGCTTGGCTCAAGCCATGGTATTTTCAATACTCCATATACCTTTCTTAAAGGACACTGAATAACAAACATGTAAATTAATTCATTTGAATTTTGTGGTATTGGTGCTGAATATTGAATATTCCACATGAAGAATGAACAAATCTCCCTTGGAAGATGGAGCAGTGGTGGCACATTGAACTGCTAACTGCTAGGTCAGTAGTTTGAAACTGCCAGCCACTTCACTTGAGAAAAACAAGGTGCTCTATAACTGTACAGAGTTACAGTGTAAGAAACCTCCGGTACCGTTCGACCCCCAACTTTAAGGGTATTGTGAGTTGGAATCACTTCTATGGCTGAGTTTGTATATTTTGTTTTTGGGGTCTTGGAAGAAATACAGGATAAATGCTACAAAAAAGCAAAGATTATGAGGTATAATCACCCATGCATGGGATATGTTTCCATCAGAGGAAAATACAAAAATGGGTTGTTTTTTTTTAAGTCAAGAAAAAAATGGAACTACCTTCAGAGGCTGTATTTGAACAATAGCACAATATTGGAGTTCGTTTATATGGAGCATGATGAAAATAGTGCAAGGCTAGGCAGGATTTCCTTCTGCTGCACTGAAGGACATTATAAGTGAGGGATGCTTCTACAGGGCTTACCATCACCATAAATAAGCATAAGAAATAAGATTTCCACTTATTGATCAACTGGACACATTGTCATCTGACTCATTACTTTGATAGGCCATTAGCGAAAGGTCCCCAAACAGTGTAGGAGTTCAATCTACCATCTTTAGAACTGTAAAGAAAACGTTTCACTGCCTGAAGGGAATAAAGAAAACTGTACTGAAGAAGCAAGGATAACTCTGGATGCGCTAAGAACTCATGTCCTTTATTTGTGCTTCACATGAACACTCTTCTCATGAAGTTCTATCGCCCATCTCAAAGAACGAAGACCCAAACTGGAATGTTGACACCTTATAGAACAAGCACCAAGTCTCAAAAGGAAGATCATTACAGAATCCAGTGCTTGAAACCACATATGCATCTGACAGCAATAGAATGCTTCATAAAGCTCAGACCCTTGCCCCCTCCCCCCACTCATGCCTTTACCTTATGGTGGAACTTCAGGTCTTGGGGCAAAGCATTCCCAACAATTCTTGTCTAACCTTATTCTGTGAAATGCAAATAGCCTAGGTCTCTGTAGTACTCACCATTTTGGAGCTCGATCTTCTTGAAATCAAATCAATGCACTCAAAGAAGACTGGAGTCAGGTGAATAAATTTGATTCAAACCCAGTCAGAAGTTGAGATCCTACTTTGTGATGCATAAAGTTGCAAGACAGGAGTCCTGGGTTTCTAGTTTCCTAGAATGGATTGGATTTTTTTATGTGTGGCAAATCTGCTACCTGAAACAGAAGAAGAGTGTTGACTTAGGCATGTGAAAATCTTGACCTGCACTTCTTGCTCTAAGTAGTTATCACCCTGCCCCACTTAATTGAAGCCTATGATCCAATCTAAGGGTATTTCTATTAAAAACAGAGTCCACCGTTTCCTTATAGAGCACATTATTCCATTTTTCAGGGATGCTTCATTGGCAGTCATGTCAGAGAAGGACGTATTTCCATGTCTCAGAGGATGAATGGAGTCCAGTCTTCCCAAAATGGCAACTGTGAACTTGGATTACTGTATAGACTTGTGAGTTCAATGCTTAAGTTGAGGTTGACCTATACTGAAATTGTTGACTTTGAACAGGAACCCACACACTTTAATTTGGTATCAAAATAGGTGACTTTTCAGGACAATATACGGTCTCAGTCCAAATCAATAAGTTCATTGTGACAATATTCAAAATGTTTTGTTTCATTGCCATTAAAACACATACAATTTACTTTAAAAATAATTTAGAGAATTATCATATGTGATCAATGCATTTGTTGCTGTTATTTTCTGCAAACCTTTCCACCAATAATTATTCTTTCCATTTCCATTTTACTTTATGATTATTTTTTACCGATTACCTAGCTATAACACCCACACTCCCTTGTTTTACAAAAATCTGGGAGAATTTATAAATATATGTTCCCTAATATTTTAATTATTATTTAACTAAATAATGAGCTGATCATATTTATTTTGAGTAACAGTCACACCTTATTCCTGTTTTTTACTTTCCCACTACCACATCTACATAATCCCTATTCTTTTATTTTTGATTTCAAAGTAAATATTTCTCTACCCCAACTTTGGCACGATTTATAATTCAGTGCCTTGCTGCTTTGTATATTTTTATCTTAATTATTCCTCTAATATATTTATCAACATTTAATGTATATATCCTATACACATAATATTTACTGTTAAATTGGAAGTATTAAGGATATAAACAATGTCAAGCCTCATTGAAGAAAAATAGTTTTTCACAAGATATCTAATTTAAAGAAGTTGTGTTAATCTGGGTAGACTAAAGAAACAAATTCATAGACACTCATACGTACATAAGAACGTGATTTATAAAAAAGTAATTTATACACAAGAACAATTGATTATTGGGAAAACGCCCCAGCCTAGTCCAGATCAAGTCCACAAGTCCAATATTAGCCAATATATCAAATATAATTCTATAAAGTCCTCTTTAGACTCACAAAATACATGCAATGATGTTGAATTCAGGTGGATCACTGGCCAGTGGGTTGGAAGTCTTGTGGACCCAGTGGAGTTGTAAGCATCTCAGCACTGGCAGAGGTCTCTACATGGCTTCTCTGGCTCCAAAGTGTGGTTGCATTAGGGTAAATCCATGTGGCTTCTCCAGCACCAAGGGTGTAGCGCCATGTGTCTTCTCAGTAGAGCATTGAGACAGAAGTGTCTCCCGCCTCCAAGGAGGAAAAACAGGCATTCTCAGAATTATCAGGAGAAGGCCATGCCCACACAGAGTCCTTTTTGGTTATATCTTGATTGATAGGCCACACTTCACCCCTTCACTTGTAATCCTCTCAAGTTGACACCAGATTATGGAACTATCACAGAAGTGATATTTTATGAAGGAAGTTTTTACCAGACCACACTCCACCTCAGTCCATAATTCCTGGCATGGTTGGCTAAAGTGATAAAATGAATCATGCTCATCTATACCACTCCAATCCATCTGCGCTCTTCATCAAACTTTATCACCTCACATCCCCTTGGATAAAATATTTATTGCGTGTTAAGGAATTACTAAGGGGCGGGGAGTCTATTAAAGGCCCATAGTAATATGCACAGCAGAGTGTGGTAATCACTGAAACTTCTTTTAGAAGTGGACAAGAGACGGAGGGACATGAGCAGCAAATTGTAGAGGTGACTTGGTCAATGCAGAGACAGCCTTAACTTGGCACAAAGGGATGTTTATTTTCTCCTATCTGCAGCTCTTGTGTTTAAGGATGCCCAATGATTAAGGCTTTGTAAAAGACTGCACCCTACACTCAAGGAATGCCTAGCTGTGGGTACATGGGTGA